TCAGCGCCTTCGGGCGCAGGGTAAAAGGGCTTTTAGAGGGTCAGCGTAAGGGTAAAAGGGGGTTTAAGGACGGTCAGTGCCGAGGCGCCGTCGGGAACACCGGGAAGCGGTGGCCCCCTCCTTGTCACCCGTGTTCTTAGAGAGGGTGAAGCTTTGCTTTACGTTTCAGGAGGAAGGGAAGGGGAAATGCAAAGTCGTCCTGGAGTCTCCCAGTCCGCAGAACAGCACGTACAAGAACGAGAAGGGCTGCTTTGCTTAAAAACCTGTATTAGGGCGGAAAGACATGGGCAAGGTTAAGGTTCAGAAAGGGGGGGCTGGCATGTTAGGGGCTGGCTCTGCAGTTCCCAACTTCTCCGTTTTTCGTTGTGTAATGGACCTCCAGATTAAGGACTACAGAGAAACGGAGGTGCTAGAAGTCAGCAGTTTGGCGGAGGGTTTTCTATCATAGCCCACCCCGCCTAGGGAGACCAGCACCCCAGTGGGGCTGAAAGGGGCAGTCTGTGTCCAAACAAGCATTGCGATGGCAGATGACAGCCCCTTCCGCTGGCCAGTTCCCGCTGGAGCATTCCACCAGGGATGCGCAGCAGCAGGGTGCAGTCCCAGCAGGGCAGTGCTGCCTGCGAGGTGTCCCAGGGCCGGGGCAGCGCTACCCTCCAGGCCCTCAGCCCTCTGTGGGCTGTGTGACAGCCGGTCCCACAGGTCAGGCTCAGGATGAGAGATAAGCAGGGACACATCTGATACAAGTGAACTAGGCTTGTGCAGACCCCAAGCAGCTGATCACTACAATGTGCTTCCCACCCTGAGGGAGGATGGTTAAGCTGGATATTATTGCCATCTAAACGTTGGACTGAGCCATCTAGTGAGTCTTCAGCCAGCTTATGTGGTCCTTTTGACTCAAAAAAAGGGCTGAGACCTGTTACCGTGGCAGGATGTCCCTATCCAAGTGATAAATGTGCTGAGATTCTTCTAAACTGCAGATCCTTTCACCAAACACCACACCTGACACACAGCTGTGGTGCACAGCTGGTGGGGCTGGCCCTGCCCTGGCACTTGTGTCCCTGGGATGTCCCCGGTACCATCTGAGACAGCCTCTCCAGGCTGTGAGCGGCATGGCACCTGCAAGGAGAGATGAGGAAAGTACCCTGGGGCCATTGCCTCATCGGTGGGGACAGGGAGGAGGATAAGAGACACTGGGCACGCTGGCCCAAGCAGTGGGATTCATCCATGGAGTATCATTCGGTGCCAGGCTCCGCTGCTGGTAAGCACTTGATTCCTGTAACCAGCTTCGTGTTCCCTTAGCAATTATTTGTGAGTAACCAGTAATGCCACCCATCAGCTGAAGTTTTCGATGAGGTTTGTCTGACATTCAGGAAAACACGCCTGGCAGAACATGGCCTGAGTCTGATGAGGCAATTTCTTAAAAAAGTAAACATGTATTTTTGCCAAAAGTGGAGTTTTCAGTGCTGGCTCATGGGAGAGAATTAAGGCATCAGGCTTCTGAGCTCTGCCCTGAGCCCGATCAGGCACTGATTGTGATGGGAAACGTAGCTCGATGCTGCTCTAATTTGAAACGAAATGTTTTCGATTAGTTTAATAATCTCAAATGAAACATTTATCTTCCAACAACATTGAGTGTTTCTTTTTAATTTGTAAAATTTGATTTGTAAAACTGTTGGTGCTTCTGAATATGTTTTCTCAGAAATGACATCTTCAAAAGAGCATGATTCGTAACAAGCCTCAATATCTCCCGCCTGATTTTGAAGGCAGCGTAGGGAAGGCAGGGTTTGCCCAGTCCTTTTGCAAGCTTTTAGTTGCCATTTGCCAAAGGTTTGTGCAGCACATGGAAGTCTGGGGCCCTTCCTATCTGAATCATCTAGATGGTACTGGAATATAAACTCTAAATAATAAGTTATATGGTATAATGCTGCCCCTGCAATAAAATTGCAGATAACATTCCCTCTTTGGGGTCCTGTTTTACTGCACTGACATTATTTAAGGCTCACAAGTCCTCCGAACGGGTGTGTCTCACTGCTGGTGGCCTTAGGTACTGCACAAAAATCCACTTCTCACTCTTTAAAAAAAAAAACTTTAAAAATATTAAAATATTCCATTACCACAAATAGAGTTGTTTCAATATAAGATAGCTGTATTGTAAATACAGCTCTACATCTTAAAATAAACATAAGCAATTACTACATTGAAGTAGGTACCCAATAGCCTAAAAGTAGGCATAGCCTAGAAATGCAGATAATCTTTGATATAATTAAATATCCTCGTTAAGAGAAAGGAAAACTGCCTGAGCAGCTGGCGTGTGGAAGTCACAGCTGCCAGGCTAAAATCCTGCCTCAAGCATGACGCAAGCAGTGCCATCGATTTAATGGAGCTTGTTTGTGTGAATTACAGTTACCAGGCTTGGCTCTGGGCAGAAAACCTAAATTTAACTTATTTTTGAAAAATAACACCCAAGATTTCTCCCTACTACCCTTTAAGCAGGAAAGTTTACTCTGGGTACTTAGAAGAGGAAAAACTACTTTCTAGAGCTGTTTGCAGTATTTTGCAATGTACATGTTGTTCCAGTGTCCCTATTTAATAATTTCTTAAACCTGTCTCTGAGATAGCACTTCATATCTTTTCCTACATCAATAAAACAGGGTAGAAATACCAACTCTCCTATTCATGTATCTGCACAAAACAATTGATCCGCGAAAGTATATTAATCAATATCAGAAGCACGCGTTTAATGTTTTCCAACTCTAACACTACATTGATGAGTTTTTACCAGGGAGGGGTCCAAGTTTAAGCCATGACTAATTCTGGCTCCAGGGAACATGTATTTGTGTGATTTCAGCCCGGTTTTATCTTTTGCTCAGCAAAAAAGTCCAGGCTAACTGGCTGGAGTTAGGACAACCACTCAAACTACCTACCCCAACGATGTTTAAAATGACATTTTTTGTTTCAGGTAGTCGGGAATCTGCTTTTGTACATGCCATCTCCTCTGCTGGAGTTGTTTTTGCCATCACCAGGGCTTGTAGTCAAGGGGAGCTGAAATCCTGTTCCTGTGATCCCCAGAAGAAAGGGTCTGCCAAGGACAGCAAGGGCCATTTTGACTGGGGTGGCTGCAGCGACAACATTGACTATGGTGTTAAATTTGCCAGAGCCTTTGTGGATGCTAAAGAACGGAAAGGCAAAGATGCAAGAGCACTGATGAACCTTCACAACAACAGAGCTGGAAGGAAGGTGGGTGTCCGTCCACTGGAGATGCTCTTAGTGAGATCTCAGGGATCTGGGGCAGGTAACGGTTGGCCCTGCTGGACTGGTCTCAGCAGTTAGGAAAAAGTATGGGATGAGTGGGAGCCTGAGATGCTATTTCTGTCTCTGTTGGAGGTTCAGTGTGACAGAGATCTCCAACTAGGCTGACTACTTAACAGTGCTACTGTCTGAATCGGCTCAGTGGCTCCCTATGTGGGAAGTTAACTTGACTATTAAAGACCAAATTCAAAATAGCATTGGAGAAACAAAACCACCCTGTCTGTTCCTGTATGTATATGATAAACCTGAACACAAAATGAACGAAGATAAAATACAACTACTTCGCTTTTTAAGTAAATAAGTCCAAAATTCATGTCCCTCCAAAAGACATAGGCCTTGGGGCATGACTTGCTCTAAACAAACTCATTTTCTAAACGTTACATGAAAATATTTCTCAATTTCAACAAAAGGACTCTACTTTTTTATTGTAGGTGAGTAGAGGAGTAGTTGCCAGGAATATTCCCCACTGCTGGTGCAAGGGAGGAGGAATACATGCACTAACACTTTGTGGTGGTAGCTATAAATAGTAAGAATAGTGCATGAAACTGGAAACCACTGTTGTAATATTCAAAACATACACAAAATTTGCTGCTTCCATGACATCTGAAATAATACAGAACAATATTTTATAGTGCTAGACCAAGCACTTCTAAAATGAGTCGTAGGGACTTCTTGTTTCTTGTCTTTGGTTTTCCTTAATGTATATTCAATAGCAAGTGAATTGTTCATATCCTGATATTTTGCTTTAAAAAGTTCCCTTTAATAAACTGTAAAATTGTTCTACATTAACTAGCCCTTATTAGAATAAACACTCGATTTTAATGAATTGTACAGCAAGTAGATAATTTTTCCGATAAATGCTCCTCCTTCGACATCTTTCCTCCACCTGGTTATTACCAGCAGGTGTAATTAATATGTAATACAGGCAGATGAGGCTATGCAGGTGCGTGAGATGCGTGGGCAATACTACGGCCGTATTTATGTTACCGTCCAACAGTGACTGCAGTCTACAACACCAGCAAAGACTTTATAGGGGCGAGTGAGCTCCGTGCTGGGAAGTACTTTCTGAAATAGTTGAGTATCTTAGTAAGTTTAAAAAATATATGTATGCCAAATAGTAAGACAGTATTGGTAAACAGTTAGTTTGTGGGTTTTTTTAGAAAAAAAGATAGAGAACTTTAATAAATGTATTTTATTAAAAATAATCAACACATTCTCATATGCTTTAGGAGCTACTTTATAGAAGGGGATGTTGTTTCATATCCACAGTGCAATAGTGTAGGTTTAGTTTTGCAGGGACCTCACCACCTCAGCCCGCCCACAAGCCTGGCATTTGGATCTGGGCAGGACCAGCTGTGCCCTTGGCTTTTTCTCACCCCCAAAAGGGAAAGCCTGTGTTGATAGGTTTCTTTTAAAACTAGACTATTAAGATTTTACTACTTTATAAATACATTGAATAAATATTTACAATAATCCCATATGAATCATGCAAGATAATATACAGTGTATCAGTATAGGAACATCACTGAAAAAAAAAAAATAGTCCTGCAACCCTATGTACTATTTCTGCTATTCCACTCCTCAGACCAGCAAGTTGTTTTAAACATGCAAGTAGTTTAAATTGTTTCTACTCAGATAATTAAAACCAAGCATCTTTCTGAGCAGAATCCCAATTTTGAGATAGTACCATTGGCAACAAAGTAGGGCTGTGGGAATGTCAGTGACTTCTTTGAAGCAGTCAAGTCATTTACAAGTTGGAAAGAAAGAGAATTAGAAGTACTTTGGGTTTATAACACATTCTCAGTTTATTACTAAGTGCTTGACTGAAAAATGCTGCCCCGCTGTGCATCAGTCTCACTCCTAATCATGGAGCTTCCTTCCTCCCATGATGCTGTTCCTCTTGTACAAACTCTAAAATGTTCATATTTCATGAACTCTTAAGGCATAATATTTATAGATCAAATATCCAATCTTCAGAATTAGGAAAGAATTATTTATTGCATGTGAACCCATCTATTGTTCTCCAACATCATAGAGATAGCTTAAACGTCTGAGATGACACTGAAATGGCTTAAATGCTATCCAGACATTAAATTAATGGTGATCTCTCCAGTGCAAGCTCCCGAAGGTCTCATCCTAAAATGTTTGTTAAAAGGTTTATAAGCATTTTAAAAATAGAAGATGTAAAAATTTTGCATCGACCAGTTACCTAGCCCAGGTGCGATACTTTGCACAGTCTCTGCGAAAGCATTTAAATATGAAATGCCTGTGAATTTCCAGGCAATATTTGAAGCACTGTTCAGGGCAAAGGGCAACTTGATGAAGGTGAGCTAGAGAGGGCTCAGTGTGGTGATGCTTCAGCTGGAAAGATGGGGAAAGGCGGTACCTTTGCCTACCAAGGTCCTGAGCCATTCTGCCCATTTCCCAGACCGTTTCCTCCAGCCCAGTCTGTGTCTTAGCGTTATGGACCATCTCCACCCTGGGATGACTGGTAGGAGCGGGGAAGGTGGGCCCACCAGCCAGAGGATTGTGCGTACGGTTGAGTCAAGCAACCAGAGCAGACCAACCATATGGGGATGACTTCATGCTACCAGTGGGTGTCACTACAGACCGTGATTTGGAGGCCCATCGCGAGCCTGGCATTACAGGATGAATGGAAAAGGGCTGAGAAGCGTAAATTACAGTTTGTTTCACCTGTGTGTATTTTACTGCATTTCTAAACAGGCCGTGAAGCGGTTTTTGAAACAGGAGTGCAAATGTCACGGTGTGAGTGGATCATGCACTCTAAGGACCTGTTGGCTGGCCATGGCAGACTTTAGGAAAACAGGAGATTATCTGTGGAAGAAATACAATGGAGCGATTCAGGTGGTCATGAATCAAGATGGCACGGGTTTCACTGTGGCTAATAAGAGATTTAAGAAGCCAACTAAGAATGACCTGGTATACTTTGAAAGCTCTCCAGACTACTGTGTCAGGGACAGGGATGTAGGTAAGCCTCTATCGTTGCACGTGAATGGTTTTATTTCAGACATTTGTACTTTGAAGGTCAAAAATTATCATTATTATTGAGTGTGTATGTATACATATATAATTCTATGCACGTAACCAGCAGGAAACAGGCAGGAAGATGTTTTGGAAGGACAGCTCTGTACAAGAGCAATAACTCCTCGATGTCCCTAGATGTACAACACCCAGTTGTTTTAATATAATTTGGCAATTTCTTCCAGATGCTATGGAGCCCTGGAGATGCTGCGAGGCAAAAGCTGCTTTTAGGACAAGTTTGAGTTATGCTCTGGAGGCAGGTCCGTACCGTACACAGCCACGTACATGCCTGTATCACACAGCTCACTCCAGAGCTTCCAGATGTAACTATGGCAGCCCCAAGTCCCCTGGTGACCCTATGATACCACCTCCGCTTGCCTTGCTTCTCCTCCATATTGTCATGCTACTGCTGCAGACTCCCCAGAAATCAGCGTCCTCCTTTATCTGCACGTTCCCCACAGCTCACTGCGGACCTTGGACTCTTTAGCTGTAGACACACCTCTCCTCATCGGTAATGTGGGAGGTACAGCAGCTTGGTGCATACCACGCTTGCGTCAGTCAATGCAGCTGTCGGTAACGTGGCAGCTGGAGGACGTGCAGATGGAAGAAAGACTAGAGATCGGTGGGGCACAGCACACTGCATCCAGTGACACAGCTGATTTATTCCTCTTTACGAGGCAGTGTTGGCTCCATCCATGACAACCATCACATTTTCTGAAGAGTCATGCCAGCCCCAGTGGGAAGAGGTAAAGGTTCAGGGCTGCTATTAACTCTGAATTTTTCTGCTTTCAGGAATCCTGCTAATGGTTCTTGACCTGTGTATAGTGTTTCCTGATGTTGCAATTAAAAACTAGCAACTAGAAAACCAGAAATTTGGAAAAGAGAGCCAGACTGAGTAAAGTGTGAAAGATGTTGTGGAACTAATTAATAGGTTGTATAATGTACCGGATCGCACCCGGTATGACATATCTGTAAGCATCTGGATAGCAAAGCAGCTCAACTCTTTTTGGCACGGCTGCGTATTTACAATCCAAGTTTACTTGGAATAAGCATTGCAAAACAACTATACTTAAATAAGAACAATATGTGAAGTCCTGGTCATGTACTATTGACTTCAGTGAACCCAGAATTTCATCCAGTATGCCTCTATTGTATAGTGTTTCTGGTTAGTTGAGTAGTCAAGGTCATTTTAAATGTTATTTATGGCTCTTGCAGGTGATGCTTGTGACCTGCACAAGCACATATTGTTCCTTGAATAGTGGCCGGTGCTGTGAAGTGTAATACTCTAACCCAGGTGAATAAATAGGCGTATTGTGGCATTGTGAAGAGACTGACTTTGCAGACCAAGATTTATTCATAACTTTATTTCTTGAAGTTTCCTCATTCATCATAAAACCTATGATTTCTCTCTCCTGAAAAAGAGAGCCTGTATACAACCCACTTCTACGTCAAAAAGCCATTTAATAATCTCTTGGCACTAAGCCAAATCTCATCTGTCAGTCTCGTTATTGCAGAGGAGAGTGGGCGTTTTTCACCGCGGAGTATGACACGCGCTTGCCTGATGCAGTCAAGCCTGCCCAGAGATGGCAGAGTCTGACACGTGTGTTGGTTCAGCTCAAGATAAGGCTGCAGACGAGGCGGTGTTTCTTTGCTGCCCAGAATTCAGAGAATGTGGCTGTTTGGAAAAGCACATTTTTGGCAAGCTGCAGTAAACCTTTAACGGGACACGAGATGCCCCGCTGCTCGCGTGGAACAAAGAAGGAATCAGACAAAAACTGGTCTGGCTTTGAGAGAGGTAGTTTCTGCAGCTGAGCAGTATTTTTTCTTTATTACCTTTGGTTTGCCCTGTTGAGTTCTCCAGAGTGTCAGCCCTGTTAAATGACTGGAAAGGAAATGAGATTATGGAAGTCTGAGTTTGGAAATAGGTGGGGAACATCTCAGCCTCAGCTAAATGTAATACCACAGCACTTTAGTATGTGCTTGAATACAGTTCTGCCTTTCGTTCTCTGGAGAATTTAAGCAATTTAGTGCTTCAGGAAAGAAAAAAAGAAAGTATATCTGAAGATTGGTTACTATTGGGACTGAATGAAGGGTTCCCAGAGCTAATCTTATGAAGTGTCATGACTTAACCAGGAGACAGCTTCACAAACTGTAAAATGACCAAGCCAGTGTCCTCTGTGGCTTGGGTGTGCTAACACATATGAACCAGTAAATTAAAGGTGCTTGAGGCTTGTATCATCAGTGGCCTGTCCAAAAAACCACATACCTCGTCTTCCACCATCAAAGCTTTCAGCGCTGGCTCTTCTCTCTGGGGTCGGGCAGCCACCAGAGAGTGCCTGGACTGGATACACCCCACTGACTCTGGCAGTCTGTCTGGGGGAGGCACCTGGACACACATACATGGATCACCCCTACAACGTGAGAAATGTGGTGTTTCTTTCGTTCTTTCCTAGGAGGAAAAAAGGAGTCATTGCTTTCGGGAGAGATATAATATGGGGAAATGACTAATAGCATCTAAATAGCATGAGAACATAATAACCTGACCACCTTTTGTCTCACATTAAGATTTCATGACTTTTAGAAAAGGACCAAAGGAAGATTTTCAGAAGTGTTCAGAATTCACCTAACTCTGCTCACACGGATGCTGAAATAATTTTTACTCACAATTTTGTGCTCATAATTTGATAGAAACTGAGGTAGGACATCCCAGAGGGCTTTTGAAAATCTTGTCACCAACTTACAAATTTTGCCACACTTTACATGGTCTTCCCTTATATTATCGTAAATTTCCAGCTCCCAAAACCAATACGGGTGTACCCAGGACTACCCAGGGAGAGAGACCTGTTGGAAATTACAAAGCTGTGAAGGGAATGAAAGCGACAACTACGCAAGTGGCAGTCCCACTGTCGCGAGAACTCTCTTACCCTGAACACGTAACTTCTCTGAAGTGCTCTAAAAAAGCTCTTGCCTGTCTGCTTCTAAGTTTCTGTTAGAAGCAGTCGAAGTGTTACAAGATTGCTGTTTGACCATTCAAATGTCCAGGCTGATGGGAAGCTGTTGCAAGTTTGTCGTGTTTTGAACTGGTGGACAAGCAGAGACTGCATATGAGCAGCTGTAGCGTGGGCATCACCAGCTCGCCGGCCGAGCCTTCGTTACAGGCTGTTGTTCATAAAGACTATTAAAGCAGGGAAATGTCTTCCTGCGAAAGAAAACATTTTAGAACAGATTTATTAAAAATTAATTTGTACAGAGCAACCAGAAAACGTGGGCAATGTTTGAGTGAAGCCTCTTCCTGCACGGAGACCCCCACCAAAGTGTGTAGAGCAAGCTGAGCTCAGCTACGTGAGTTGAGGTGATGCATATGGAGCAGAGAGGTTGTGTTCCCCGAGCGTGGACACCAAGGTGGATGTGGTGGGCGAGCAGCAGCATGGTGTTGGTGAGCTTGTGTTGACTGTTCACAACTGTTCTTGTAGCAATGAGGCTTTGACCATGTGGAGGTGGTGGTGGAGCAGAGGCAGATTGTGTCTACGTGCAGATGATCTTGAGCTGCTGCAGCAGTCCCTCAGGACTGACTCCCATGTGCCAAGTCATCCATAGTTTTCTCATAGTTTCACTCATGTGGTCCCAGTTCAGACACTGCCAAAGCCAGTGTCACTGCCTCTGCCTGTGTGTGCGGTGTGGGTCACGTACCTGGAGTGCTGTGGCCATCTCCTGTGTCCCCAACAGGAAGACAGGGTGCTGTGGCTGGGTCTGAGGACCGTCCACACCTGGTCTCCTGATGGAAAGCACTGTGGAGATGCACGTGCAGTGCTACAGGCAGCCCCCTAGAGCTGCGCATTGGGTGACAAACCACGTGCCCAGGGTGACCTGCTTTGGGTCCTTCACAGGACTATTTTCATGTTATTTCCCCTGCTGCCCCACGTAAGCCATTTGCTGTGGCTTTGACATGAATGAGACCAACTCCGGAGTGAAAAAAAAATGTGAAGGTAAAGAGCAACTGGCAAAGTATTGGTGTTGGGCAAGATATGTTTGTTAGTACTTGAGGTACATAACCCATGGAGGGAAACCATCTACATCAGAAACTTCTCCCTGAGGTTAGATGCATACAGGCAGTCCCTGTGCAACTTCTTGGCCCCTATCTCCCAGTTTACACATTGCAAACATGTTGGGTGCAGTCTCAGTCCTGCGCAAGCTGACAGTGGAGCTGGCGATGACTTCCACTAGGGCAGCTCTCTAGATGGTGGGAGCTTGAGATGACTTCCATCAGGGCAGCTCTCCAGATGGTGGAGCTTGTGATGACTTCCACCAGGGCAGCTCTCCAGATGGTGGAGCTTGCGATGACTTCCACCAGGGCAGCTCTCCTCCAAGCACCAGCCGACAAGGGAGCAGCGCAATGGCCCCACGAGCCCCTGGGAGCTGAGAGGTTATGACAGCTATCAGTGGCTACAGAAATTAGAGCGAGACACGTCTTTGCTTAAACTGACTCTGGATAAGCTGTTTGTATCAGCATGTTGCTGCCTTTTTGTTTGTGGCTTGGGAAATCCCAACCCCTCCAGACAAGGCTGCCTCCGGCGTGCGCCGCCTGTCCTCTCCAGCCCTGCTTCACTAAGGTGTTGTACACAGGTTCTACATGAATGTTTCTTAGTTTAAAAAGTAGCTTCAGAGCTACTTTTTCTGTGAATGTTTCCTTCTCCCCACTCTCAAATCCTTGTGTGGAAACTAGTTCATCATTGTTGGGGATTTCACTGCTTTTTTTTTCAATAGAAATAGAAGGTGAATTCTCACATTATAAAGGAATAAATTCATTTTAGTGCTTTAGGAATAGGAAAAAAATGTTTTTCAACTTACCATATGTTTGCTTAAGAAAACAACTGTGCAAACCAAGAAGAAAGGGGCTGATACACAGGCCATAAAGTTGTCAGTATTACAAGCTATGGATGTTTTGGCAGGTGTGATGTTGTGTATCAGCATGGCAATTCTGAAACTTGAACTGAAAACAAAGAGCTTGCACGAAAACTTTTTGCAAGTTAGAACATACTCCTGCCTCTGAAGTGATGAGGAGGGGCACTACAGGCAGCAGGCAAGGATCAGAAAACTCTGCCGTGTTTTGTTCAGTGTCTACTGTTGTCTTCATCACCTGGGTATGTGAATGCCCCAAGGAGCGCGGTAACTGGCCTGGCTGCTCGCTGCCGGTTATTGCTCATTTTCTTTCTCACGAGAGAAGCCGCAGGGGTGCTGAAGATGCTGTTTGAACTTTTCAAAGACGTTGGTTTTGCTCAGAATCTAAGCCTTTAAATGAGCCTGTTTTCTCTTTTGTCATGTTCTGTGGATAGTTCAGTCTCCTCTCCTAGTGCCGTAGAAAATGTCGATGGTGTATTGTGAGCACTATCAGGTGATTCCAGCTTCTGACTATCTGTTAGGGGCTGAAATCATTTTGGTTTTGAAGTCAGTGGCAAAACTCTAATTGAAACCAGC